GTTTTTTATTCTTAGGCTAGGTATTTTATTCTCTTGATTATTCCCGTTATACACTCCCCCACCAATAACTCCCCCTCCCGAATGACACACACGGCACGCGGATTCTTTATCCCCTGATCAGGAATGATGTACCTCAGGAATCGACCGTCCCTGTCCAGCATGTGAATCTTGTCGTTCTGAAGGAAGTCCGTGATGATGATGTGATGCATGCTGTCTGTTGTCAGGGAGCTATATATCTAATTTCTTCCTTGGTTGCTTTGTTCCCTGTGTAGGAGAACCTGAATATTCCGAGATTGTCAACAACTGTGACGGCATTTTTATCCCAGTCAGCTACACAAATGTCGCCGTTACCATTCTCCACAGCGTAAACTGCTTTTTTAAACAGAGGCTGGTACTGGTAGTCGTACTGGAGTTCTTGCAGCACGTCACCAGAACTGCTGTATCTTACAATTTTTGAGTCCGTTTTGTCTGTAGAGACAGACAAGGAGGTCCCGGGCCCCGGTGCGGGCAACACCATAAGAATTCCACTCTCCGATAAAGCACGTATGATCTATACCGTCTTTTAAACTATTGACAGACTTTTTAGTATAATCGATGTACACGACGTTTTCATTTAGATGAGTCAAGTGTAATCCTATACGTTTTTGATGTCTTGAATTAATTAATTTTTTTTGCTTTCAAAATGGTTAACTTTATAAAATCAAAGCTTTTAAGATGTCTAAACACAGGACTATTATGCAATGTAAATATTTAAAAATATATATAATTTTGTACATATATTCCTAAAATTGCCTTTTTTTGATGTAAAAAAAATTAATACAAAGGCAGGTGGCCAACTATTAACACACAATACCCTATCTGCATTCTTTTCCTACAAATATCAAACGACGCAGTTCAATATCTCTTGACAGTACTGGTATCTAACGAATATTTGCATATTATACTGGAAAAGAACGTATTCTATGTCACATGACATTTGCACAGTGGGTCAGGGGAGGAGCGACTTGATGTAGAGTTCACATCTTATTTAATGTTGTTAAAAATTTATTTACTTAAATATATATTATACTTATCTGTAGATCTTGATATAATGCAATAATTGAATAGTGAATGCAGTTTTGGAAACTAATGTATAAATTGTAAGCTTGTTGATATATACTGAAATAATTACTGTTGTTGGTTATAATTATACCCGGTAGTTGTTTCTGATAGATACTAGTAACTATTGTCGTCTCAATGTTGAATTTAATGAATAATGTTGCTGAGCTCTCTATGATGAGATATCTGAGTCACTGCGCTCATTGTTCTCAAGCTGAAAACGTGCAAAAATAGAGCAGAGGGCTATTGAAACCGGTTACAGTCGCCTATGTGGTGCAGTGGTTAGAGCGTCTGCTCTAGAGTACGAAGTAAGGGGCTAATCCTTACGTCGGAGGTCCGAATCCCACTATGGGACGTGGAGACCGGTCCTTCGGATGAGACCGTTTAAACCGAGGTCCCGTGTCGCAGTAGGTGTTGGCACGAAAAAAGATCCCTCACTGCTGATTCGTTTTCAAATGTCATAAAGCCAGATTCACCTTTTGTACTACATGTACTTTCAAAACCTACAATATGCGCACATTCCATCTTAAAGACGAGTCATTTCTGTTTACAAAAGCGTTTTTTCTGACTGGTTTAAGTCCCTGATCGAGAACACATGAAAAAATAGTTTGCTAGCCCAACTTTCAAATATCGACTTAATTCAAGAGCTTGGATAGAGAAATATTATCACAAAAACTTGATATTGTGATAAAAAGAGACTTTTCTATTATCCTCAAATAACCTAGAACTCATTAAAATTGTCATTTTTTACTGTCTGAAATGACTACCTTACATATTATCATGTATTTTAATGAAATGAAATGAAATGCAAATGAATATAAATCCACACCACCATTAAAACCAACTGCATTACAGACATATAGCCACCTAAATTATTTTTAGCCGGGCTTTGCTGAAAGCAAAGTCCTGGCTTTAGGCATCATGATCGACTGTTTTACTATAAACAGCACAGTAAACAAAAACCAAACAGCGTCAAAGCAGATGCTTCCGATAAACAAAATAATTCCATTGCGATACGATATTCAGTAAAATATTTTTAACATCCCAATCGTTGGAAAAGTCAATGATCAATATTTTTGCTTGAGAATTAAACTGTAAGAAAAATTAGATATTTGCTTTATTGGGATAATCGCGATATAACAATTTGTGCACATACGCTGCTAAATGCATACTGTAAGCGAACTATTTTCAATGGCGAGGGCTTTTCGAAAAGTTGAAATTGATGAAGAGTATCATGTTTCATATCGTTTTCGTCGATGTTATGATAGTGGTTATATTCTGATTTGTTTTTTAGCAAATGAATAGTATTTATTTATTAAATTCTAAAATCATACCATGTCTTGGGGTCTGGACTGTTAATTTTAATTACTGGTATATGAGATATTGTTTTACATCATAATCATAAAAACTCTACCTGTTTTAAAAAAATCAATGGCCAAAAGGAAAAACATAAATGTGTACTAATTTTGGATGAGACAATATACTCGAGCAATTAAAGCCCGGCTTTCAGTCCTTTCAATACTTTGATTATATATGTTTTTTTTCTTACTTGTAGTCTACTAAGATGGATTGCGAAGTTTGTGACAGTCCGGCTGAGTTCACATGCAAGAATTGTTCAGTTAAGCTTTGCACATTATGTGTAGGACTACACATGCTTTCCGAATCAGAAAATGGTCACGATGTAGTGAAATTTTCCGAACAAAATGAATCCGAGGAAAATAAATGCCAGGACCACCCCCAGCAAAGAGCAGCGCATTTTGCAAGACTTGCCACATATCTATCTGTGTCTTATGTCTATCGGAGAAGCAAAATGCGCATGAAATTGGCGAGTTATCGGAGAAAGTTGACACATTATCCGACATTATCGCCAAAGAAAATGAACAGCTTCAGTCCTTACAATCTGATATGGAAAAAATTCTGGTCCATATCAACAGAAGATCTGCAGAACTTCCACTTGCCAGCAAACAGACAAAAAATAATGTTACCTCCCATATCAGGGGAAAGGCATCAGGTGATTGATAGAGCAGAAACGGCATTGCACAAAGATCTAGACAAAATGGAAGAAAAGCATCAGGGAAAACTACTGAAGCAAAAGAGAGAATTTGAAGAAATATTGAAGAAATTAAAAAGCTTAGATCAAGAATCTTTAGCTTGGCAAAATCCAAAGACGTTTCGAAATTAATGAAATTTAAGCTTGAACTTGAAAATTTACAAGTGCCAACTTTCATAGAAGAAACAAAACCAGCATTCTTTCAACCTTCCGAGACCAATGAAAGTCAAATATCATCGTATTTCGGTTACATATAGAGACACTGCAATCGTTCAAAAGACCCACAGACAACCTTACACAAGAAGCTGAAGATGAAATCTCCTTATTTCCGAAAGCTCTATATGTACCTTCAGTTCTTACCACCCTTGATGCACAGTTTCCAACTTCTAAAGAAAACAACAACAGGTTGTATTCCATTGTTCCCCTCGGTGACGGCAGGGTGTGGGTAGGTGGACACAGTGATATCCTGAAGCTTTTTTATCAGGAACGTCTTATAGCCACTGTCAATAAAAAGAGTATTGGTTTGTTCCTGACTCTGCATGAGGGACATATAGTTTATCCCGATACTGACAAAACCCTGAAGAAGGTTATAAACGGTAAAATAGATACATTGTTCAGTACTGGCGAGTGGATCCCTGACGGTATCACCTGTACCGCGGCACGTGACTTCCTTGTCTGTCTCCGATCAACAGATGATTCACAGTCAAAGGTCGTAAGATATAGCAGTTCTGGTGACGTCCTGCAGGAAATCCAGTACGACTCCCTGCACCAACCTCTGTTTAAGTGGGCAATTTACGTGGTGGAGGATTGTAACGGCGACATTTGTGTAGTTGATTGGAATAAAAATGCCGTCACAGTCGTTGACAAGTTCGGAATATTCAGGTACTCTTACACAGGGAACAAAGCATCCAAATTCAAACCTTGCTCTCTTACCAAAGACAGCATGCATCGTATCATCACCACTGACTTTCTTTACCACAAGATTCACATGCTGGACAGGGACGGTCGATTCCTGAGGTACATCATTCCTGATCAGGGGATACAGAGACCAAGGGCCGTGTGTGTCATTAGGGAGGGGGAGTTAATGGTGGGGGAGTGTATAACGGGAATGATTAAGAGAATAAAGTACCTAGCCTAAGAATGAAAATTAAAGGCAAAATAGGTTTTATGATTCGATTTTGATATGCCAATACCGTGAATTAATTTTGTTTGTAATGATTTAATAATACATATTTGTATATAGGCTTACATAATAAATACCACATGGACTACTGTAAACCAGCTTTTATTCGCGGCGACTTCATTTCGCGGGGATAAACTACTTCCCGGCGATTACTTTTCGCTATCAAGCCTTTTTGGATCTGTTGTTTTAAAATAGAAAGAGATATTAAGAACCAATTCGCGACGAGAAATATTCGCGATGATGATGCTCTAGCTCGCGAACCTCGCGAAAATTTCTCGCATTCGAATAAAAGCTGGTTTACAGTATTAAGTATTAAGAAATCTTTACTTATGAAAAGAAATAAAATTTGCACTTGCATTGGATTAGGAAACAAAATTTACCTGATTCTAGATAAATGATGTTTCATAGATGTAGATCAGTAAGTCTAATTGTATGTATGTTCAATGTGATTTATAGATTCTGAAATGCATATATCGACCTGATGTTTCTAAAAATGAAAAAAATCTTCCATAAAACATCAATAGTAATGACATCACAATAGCTAATATGACTTGATGGTTCTGAAAAAGTATAATTTACTTCTCTTGTAATAACTGGTAAGATGTAAAAATATCTTGCATAAGGATCTACTTTAAGGCCCTTTCACAATTGGCGCACGAGCAGAAGCGACAAAATATTCGTGCGACCGAATAATTCTGATTAGGATTGTAAACTGTTGCCGAAATAATCGCATATGAAAATGTATTCGTACGACTGTTGTGTATTGAATATTGCAATATATCTTGCGTCTATTCGCGACTGTTGTACAATGAAAACGAGTGTCTTAAGATAATGCGATAAGATCGCGTGAGTAATCAGGTAATCAGACGATTGAACGTGCGCCAATGCAATTGGGACATGCGGTGCTCGTGCGCTTATGCATTCCATAGTACATATACGAATGTTCTTGCGAGTCAGAGGGCTGGGTAATTATACCGCCCGTTTCCGACGGTCTTCAGTTGGCATAGACTAAGTGTATGCGAGAGAAGACGCTTATAAATTATACAGGGTATATATCACCCATTCTCAATATAAGGGCTCAAATAATGTCGCCTCATTTTCATTTAGAAGAAATACCACTGATGTAATTTTTAAATCAACATTATAAATAGTCATAAAACAATGAATAAGAATTCATATAATTATCGATTTGAAAGGGTATTTAAGGAGTTCCAAATTCAAATATAGTGCCTATTTGAAATGTACGTTACTGTCGCCGAGGCAAATATGATGCTGAATTCCCTCTGTGTAATGTATAGTTTTGATTCTCAAGGAAAAATTTTCTGAATAAGTTAAACCTTGTATCATATATATTTCTTTTCATAACAATAAATACATTTTCTTTGTGATAATAAATAATCTTTATTGTGCAATGTCCCTGTCGCTTAATTCTATTTCAACCACATCACAAGCAAACACATAGATTATACACCTGAAAGTTTTGTTCTCCTTTATTTATTGATGGGCTAAATTTGAAATTTCAAAGTATTAATTACTCCTACTTAGATAATGTAACATGAAATTGAACAATTTGAGCAACTTTTATAAATATGTTTACGGAATGAAAAACATTTTCAATCGTAGAGATAAGAAAGAAATGTACGTTACCTATATTCTTCCATTAAGAATATATATTAAGTAGAAAATATGAGACGACTCTGAACAAGCAACCCCTTGTATCCTGTAAACTGGCAAAGACGTTTTGCTTAACACAATTAAAAATTATTTTTTACATGAAAAGTAATCATTTGAAATGTACGTTACTGAAATGTACGTTACCATGAAATTCGAATTAAGTGAATCTCGCACGAATTTTCACGTATTCTCATACTTTCACACACTCGAATGTGTACACAAAGGAAAGTTTCAAAGGTTGGAGGTCGGCTAAATCCCAAAATTAATGAAAAGAAACGTTTCTGCTGAGGAAAAAAATATATTAAGGTCAATTATATGTAACATAATTTTGATACCTGGTATATATTTCTGAATACGAAACCTGTATGATGCATTTCTTATGATATGCAAGTTCAAATAGTATCAATAAATTGCGTGTCTAACGTACGCTTGTGGAAGAGAATTGATTCTTATATTTGAAATGTACGTTACGTATGGTAACGTACATTTTGCGTATTTCTAACCGACATTTTTTTTATTTAGTCAATGAATTGCGTTTACACGAGCGAAACAAACTTATCGTTACCATCCATTTGACAACTGACCACATAAATCCATCTAAATGCACCCCCAATCCTCGTAAATATGGTAGACTGTTACCACATGCTAGAAAATTTATTTCTAAGTGTCTTAAATTCATCTTTGGCAACCTTTTTGCAGTCTGTTTACTTTTAATATGCGACTTTCCGTCAATATTAATTTAATTGTTGTTGATAATTTAAAACAAGGTATGCATAGGCTTATAATTGGTTAAAAAAACAAACAAACAAAACAAAACAAAACAAAAAAGAAAAAGAAAAAAAAACAAATAAACCCAGAACACAAGACGGTCAAGTACATTTCAAATACTGAAAGGCTGAAAGGCACACAATACTCAGTTTTGTTTGAATCATTGCATAATTTTGGGTTATATTTTTCCAGATCGGCTGAAAAGCACGTATGTTTGTGTTTTGACAAACGATGTTGCAACATACTAAATGAAATTGTTAACAAGACTGTCGATGGATATATTCGGAATAGATTTATGTTAAGTTTCAATGGCCAAACACGAGCATTTGTTAGATCATAGCAAAATACGTCTGACTCTTATTTTTCTTTTTGTCTGTACCCTTGCACACAGGTAGAAGTAACTAGGCTACGATCGGTGTCAATTCAGCGAAACAGCACAAAAGAATGGTAACGAACTGAGGTGGAAGGGACTCCCCAATAATATGTGAAATGAACGTTACCGAAGTGACGTGACATTCATGTAGTTGATGACAAATAACCTCGTTTGTTCCATTATGATTTCTTATATTACTGCCTTAAAGATGTTTATACTAATATTCGTGCTTTGAATTGCGATAATTTGGATCGCATTTGGTCGTGTCTGAATAGAGCTCGTGCGAAGCTAAAATTTTCCGATTGCAAAGTGTTGTAAAGTGCTCGTGCGCCTATTGTGAAAGGGCCTTTATAATATTACATATAAGATGTTTTTCATAAATTAATAAAATGTAATACATGTACTAGGAATGTTGCCTTTTAGATAGTCCTTTTACTAATCACGTCATCAGTATAAAGGAAACGCAACATTAATCAATAATTTGATGTCTGAAAGGACAAGAGAGAAAACCTGTGGCTTCTTTCTATTAATATTTTCAAATTTTTCTTTGTCCATCTCTTTAAAAAAAAATTAACAAGCTAATTCAGTGAATTTTGTCCACCGCTTAGAGAAAAGGTAAACCATGCGCAGTTCGGGGAAGGGGGGGGAGTCGGATCCCCCACTGAATTTGTAGAATTATTAAATGTATACATGTATACTGAAACAAGTAAAAATATGCCAATATGGATATAAAGATTTGATTGCTTATTCTTTATTATGTGTATAGAAGATTCTTTTTATATGGAATATTGATCACACTGTAATGATAATTTCATGAGTTTGTGCAAGCCAGGCCTCATAAATTTTTCCTTTCACATGCGCAATACTATCATTTAGTAAAAAAAAAGTATTTTGAAAAAAAAATGAAGCGTCCGGGATTGACCGGGGTCCTCTCACATGTTAAGCGAGAGACATATCACTACACCATGGGACCTCTTTAAACTGGCAAAAATTATATGCAAAGATGAAGTCACATACATGTATATATTCACGTTCAATATCATCAAAATTTTTACACAATGCATGGTGTCTAATTTAACCTTTATTAAACAGTGTTGCCGGATGATTAGGCGTCTAACTCCATTCTACCAGAATATGCAATAAAACAAAAGTCAAAAGGTTTCGAATGTATATTCCGTTATAAAAGTGACAACAATTCACTGGACTCTGGTAGTGTTCCTTGTTCCACACACTCCTCTCTCGGGATGGGACCTACTCATAAAGAAACAATACACAATATTAAGTTGCAAGTTATTACACGAATTATTACACAAATGGTTAACCATACATGACACATAGCATAGATCTTTTAGCATATAGCTTTTAGTATACATGTATAGCTTCTAGCATTTAGCTTTTAGCATACAGCAGTACTGCGTTTTTACACACACCTGCACTTAATTACTCGTTACACTTATTTATGCAACACTACACATATACAAGTAGAGCTATACTCATTTATACACTAGATAATTTTATGAAACGTTACACAAACGGAACACCATACTAGAAAACCAGCGAACGTTTACTACAAACACAACTATTTATAGAAACGAAAACTATACAGACACGATTAACATAATGAACAATTTCAACATTCACAAAATATTAAACACAATTAAAAGCATGCCATTTTAACAAAGTTATCCAAGACCTTGAAATTTACAAAAACTGAATAAAACTTAAAAGAATAAATAAAACTCGTACTCACCTCAGAAGCTGAGTGTTTGTATCAAATGTAGTTGTACTTATAAACTATTGTAGAAATGAACTCAAATTTAACTGGCTATGGATGAAATTCACATAATTATGCGTGCATGTTTTAACGTATCACGGCAGGAAAAGAGAGTGATTTACTCAACCGTGCCCGTTAAATAGCTTTGAAGAACTGAGGCTCCATAAAGGATAAAATAGTAGAGGTCCCCTACAGGATAACTGAATATAATACAAAAGTATATAGATAAAAACATACGTACAAAGTAAATCTGACAAACAGTTCTAATAGATGTAATAAAAATATAAAGTCCGCCGGGAACCTGTTTTATACGTAATAACTCTCCTCATGCCCCTGTGCTAAAAATTACGACATGTAATACAAATA